GTGACGGCATCCCCCTTCCCCTCCGCCACGGAAGTTGGTGCCAACGCCGACGATGGTAACGACGGTGGAAGCAACGACGATGACGGCCGTTCCGAGCGTGTCGATCGCCGTGATGTGCGCTGCAGGTAAGGGTCCTGGCTGAGCTGGTGGACATCGTAGCGGTCCGAGGGGTGGTACTCAAGACACTTTTGTATGAGATCCTTCGCCTCTTGCGACACCCGCGGTGTGTCAGGAAAGCGCAGCGTGCGGGCAGAGGAGACAATGAGTTTGTCCTGCCATATACGCCGCTGCGACTCACCCTCGGCAAATGGGCGTCTGCCAAAGAGCATCTGGTAAAAAATGATGCCACAGGACCACACATCCACTTTGTTGCTAATGCGGGGGGTGGCAACGGTATCAAAACACTCCGGTGGCAAGTACCAGTACGTGCCTGTGCCCTGCGACGTGAGCTCGATCGTCGGGTTGTCGTGCGGCCCATCACGACTCTGAATCAACTTGCTCAGGCCAAAGTCAGTGATCTTGATCTCAAGGCTGCTTGCATTGCTTGAGTGAAACAAAATGTTTGCCGGCTTGAGGTCGTAGTGAATAATCGGCTGCTCCTGCGCCGCCAGGTATCGGAGGGCGCTCACGACTTGTAGCAAGATCAACCGCGCCTCCATCTCGCGCATGCATCCGTACCGCTTGAGGTGCGTGTCGAGGTCCGCCCCCTGGCTGTACTCCATGACGGATACAAACATCGCCTCGCCGTGTTCAAACTCGTCGTAAAGTCGTGTGAGGTGCGGGTGCTGCAGTGTCCGCATAATCGCCAGCTCACGGTCGGCGTGGCGGCGATAGTGAAGACGCGTCTGCGCAGACCACTCGCGTTGCACGCGGTGGATCTTGCACGCCACGTAACGCGCGTCCTGCAGGTCAAACGCCTTCCACACCTCCGAGAAGCCGCCTTTGCCGAGCAGTTGCATCAGCACATACCGCTGCCCCTGCCCAATGGCCAGCACTGCCATGAACTCGGAGGCGTCCTCGTCGCTGACGCGGCGTATCTCCTTCAAAAATGCCTTCTTCTCGTGGTCCAGCTCCAGCTGCCGCTGCTTCACCGCCTGGATGCTGCTTCCCAGCGCGGCAAACTCCGAGGTGTAAAGTTGCATCGCCTCCTGCGACTCCATCAGTGCGTTCTGTAATTCAGGCGTCATGGAATCCTCGTCACTGCTGCGCAAAAGCTGCCGGACGCGTTTCTCCGCCGCCTTCTTCAGTTCCTCCACCTCATCGCGGCGCGACGACAACTCCTCCAGCTGCATGATGAGCTCCTTCGGTCTGTTGCCCTCCACCCACACCTCGCGACCGCTACTGTGCCACATCGCAATCTGGCCAAGCTCAAAGTGCTTCTGGTGCAGCGCCCGTCGCGCATCGCTTTTAGCCTGCCGCGCCGTTCGTAACATCTCCTCCCGCAGAACGCGTTGGTAATGCTCCGCGCGCAATGCCACCTGGCTCAACTGCGCCTCGCTCGCAGCAAGTGCGCTCTCCGCCTCCGCCACTCTCGACTCCATCGACGACAATCGCTCCCGCAACTCGTCGATTTGTGCGTCCCTGTCCGCAATCTCTTTTCTGAAGAGCGAGGCGTCGTTGATAAGTCCAAACGAGACAAGTGTCGCCTGCTTCAGCTTCCGCTCCTGGTGCGGCCCACCACCACCACTAGTACCACCACCGCAGGAGGTGCTCGGTGCAGGCACAAAGACGCAGTCACTGTCGCCTTCACCGGCACAACTATTGGTACGTTTCTCCGGCGAAGGAGGCGCACGACTATGCGGAGGAGATTGACACGCGGAGCCTTTTTTTTCCTGCGGCAACTGCGGCGGAAGCTCAACATCCCCCGATTCAGTGCCTACCTCGCCCTCACGCGCCCGCTTCCGCTGGTGATGCCGCGGTTCACTGGACCGCATGGTACCTTCTAAGACCTTACGAAGTGTGAGACAAAAGAGTGCAAATGTTTGTATTGCGAATTTACACATGAATTCTTCATACATTTGTACAGATGGATCTAACATTAACAGGTGCTTACTTTCTCTCCGGGAGAGAGAGAGAGAGTCCATGTGTATTTATATTTGCCCTCAAACAGCTATAATGGAAATATATCCACAAGAAACACACAAGCTGGCACTCCTCTTGGTGCCATGCTGCCCACCCATATAAACAGATACACACATACACACAAAGACAGTCAACTCCCTCTTCTCTCGCTCACTCTTTTTACCGCAGCACCCTCTCCACAAGCCATTGGTCCTTCTCCAAGTACAGCACTAAAATAAAGGGGTCAAGTAACTCCGGAATGTTGCTCTGCAGGCACACAAAACACTGCTGCAGCACTAACCTCTTCTCCACAGGGGAGTAAAACGACGCATGCCCCCTGCAGGAACACAACACCCAGTCCGTCAACTCCCGCACCGCTGTTTCTTCCAGGCACGCCATTGGCTCCATGAACTCCAGCGTGACCTTAAAGACGCAGTCATTGTTGAAGTTCACCTGGTCCATGGAGCGACTTCGCACAACGCGGCGGTCCTCAAGAAACTCGAGGGAGTTGACTGGCACCTTCACCTGCTCCCCCTCCTTGTTGGTGTAAATGAGCATGTTGAGGTGCCCGCTCTTGACGAAGTTAAGGTCCGGCGTCGTCTCTAAAGTAACCGCCTCCCGCCCTTTTCCCATCACTTCGCCGAAAAACCGCTACGTTGTGTAACAGAAATGCAGCAGCCTAACTTTTCTTCCCCCCCCCCCCCCCCCCTTTTTTTTTTTTTTTGTGGCCCGTCGTGAAGAGAGTGGCGCGGCACACACGGGGGAGAAGAGATGCAAAGAAGGAATAAGTAAACAGAGGGAGAGAGAGAGAGAGCTCACAGGGGTCTGGAAGAAAATTCTGCGACAGCCACCACCACGGTACGAGAAAAGATACAGAAAAGAGGAAAGAAACAACCGCAAGCATACAATTCCACACAAATACAAACGGAAAGCAAACAATAATTCCGATGGCAACAATAAGGAGAAAGAAGCATAAAGAAAGAATTCAACATTGCAGAGAATCTACAGCGGCTGCGCCTACCACAATTCGATGGCCTCCGGCCTTAGCAGCTCACCGTCCTCATCGTACACCTCTTCCCCGTCTGCCATTGCCGCTCGTCTCATATCATCATAATCATCCTCATCCTCACTCGATATAGCGGGGCCGCTGCGTCCACCATAAGCACCCGCAGCACTCACGGCTCCGGGCACCATGGGGTCGCCAAAAAAAAGCGTTGCCTCTTTACGCAGTTGTGGGGCGGCAAAAATGCATTTTCCAAACTGCTCGGCTACGACAGAGAACCCATCCGCGTCATGAGCGGCGCCTAAACGCTCAAAAAATATTTTGGGATCCCCGTGCCGCTCCTCCGCCTCGCGCTGCTCCGCGGCAAGCCGCCGGTGGGCCGGGGCGCAGACGTTGCACTCCGTGATGTCATTGAGGCAGCGCTGGTGAAAAGAGTGTTGGCACATGAAGTGCACGACCGGGAGGTCCAGCGCGGCGTGGCAGTGAAAACACTTGTGCGCCTGGAAAACGGTGGCTTTCGTTTGCAGCGCGTCAATTTCGCCATGCAACTCCCTAAGTTTCTTCAGCCGCGTGTCAATAAGAACGTGGAACGCCTCCGTCCGCTGCTCGTCCTTCCGCATCACCCGCAGCGCGTACTCGCGAACTGTGCAAAGCTGCAGCCTCGGGTTCGTGCTGAGTATCTCCACCACGGATAGCGGAGAGAGGAGATCCTGCTCCTCAATGTATTGCAGCACCTGCACGAGGTCTTGCCACTCCGTATCCGGGCTGCGGACAAGCAGCGAGAGAAGCGATAGCCACAACTCCTTCGTGGATTCATCCGTCTTCCCCCTACTGCTATCAATATTCGCTCTACTATGGCCAGCACCAGGACCGCCAATAGTATTATTATTGTTATTATTACTATTATTGTCATTGTCGGTACCGTCCCTATTCAGTCGACAACGGCAGGTTTCGATAAGTTTCTCCCTCGCCGCCCGTCGTATGGCTGGCGTAGCACCCTCCTCCAACCTTTTCGCGTAGTACTGCATGATATCCGAGGAGAGATGCAGACGCTGCAACAATAACAACACACCTTCCTCAAATTCTTGTTGTTCCGCCAGTGCCAGGGCATGATAGTCGTCGTAACTACCGGCGTACGCTTCAATAAATGTCAACGCTTGTTCAAGCCGCCTTTCATACGGTTCCACTGTGTACACCTCCGCCCCCTCTGGCGTGACCTGGTGGCGGATGCACTGTTTCAGTTCCCGCGTCATGTACAGCTCCAGTAGGGTGTTGTACACAACCCGCTGCGACTCGCCTCCGCCGTCAAGCACACCGCTTTCCACCACCGCACGCAGAAAGTACAATAAACACACAGGAGAATCCACAAACACGTGCATGAAGTCCTTCGCCTCGCTACGGTGAGACGGGCGTGATTGCTGTTGCTGTTGCACATGATGATGTGTTGGCTGCTGTTGAAGACGAAAGCCGTAGTCCTGTGGGGAACTGCGATGTGTGTGGGCAGGATCTGCGAGACGCCGTGCAGGCCCTTTCCACTGAATACACAACTCCGCCAATAATTCAGTGCAGACGCGTGGCTCCATTCCGGCAAGATCCTTCCCGACCTCCAGCAGGATGGCCTCGGCGTCGTCAACGCACAAAGTCCGAATAAACGCAAGTGCCTTCTTCGGGTTGTGAAGGTTCTCAAGCTGAATGATGACGTAGTCGTGTGGCTGAGCGTATTTTTCCGCAAGATAAATCGCGGCATCGTAGTACCCCGCCTGTCGACACACCTCAATTGCATTGTGCGCATCAAAGCGAATGTCATCGCGGTGGATGAATTCCGACAGCCTCGCCTCATCACGCAGCTTGATGTAACAATTCAGCAACAGCGTTGTGTGGCTGCGGTTAGCGAGGTTCCCGTGTCGTGTGTGGTGCAGCTCCTCCAAGTAACGTGTGAGTTCTGCCGTGTGTTGCCCATTGACGAAGATGCGGATGACGTAAGAAGGCTCAAGAAAGCCAATAGCCTCAATGTACTGATCGATGGCCTCCGCGTACTTCCCCTTCGAGACGAGGTAGTCGCCGTACTTTTTCTGTATGCTCATCTGCTGCGAGGCGTCCGCGGCGTGCAGCCGACGCACAATTCGCTTCGCCACATCGTAGCACTCCTTCTGAAAAAGTTGCTCAAGCCGTGCCTGCAGTTCCGTCTCCACCAGCCGCATAACGCGTTGCGCCACAAACTCATCATGCTTCGCCTCCTGACAAACGACAAGAATATCTGCCGCATCGGCAATTACCCACGCGGCGTTGGTGCAAGAGCTTTCCTGCGTGCGGCTCAAACACCGCAGGCCGTTCAAAATGTCGTAGCATTGCAGCGTAAATTTTTCCGACCGTGTACTGCTCTGCGTTAGCACGACGACGTAACTGCGGTGGGCGAGAATTCGCCGCTTGTGCCCTTCCACCTCCGCGAAGTGCACCGCACCAAAAAGTGTGGGGTCGAATACCGGAAGCGAGGCAGCCGTCCGCGCTGACGGCGACAACACCGCTTCGCTGCCAAATACGGCTATCTGATCGTTTGTGGCGCTTGCAACGACTAATTGACCGTCGTCCGTCAGGCAGCAGCATTCCGGCGCCGCACCAAACGGTGGGTCACAGCGGTGCTCCTTGTACTCCGCTGCCCCTGTCACCTGCCACACCGTCACACAATCTGCAAAGACGGTGTACAACGCGTGCGCCACCGCTGTGCTTGAGTTGATGCTACTGCTATTGGCGTTGGCGTTGGGATTCCCGATACCGAGTCCAAAGAGATGCTGTTTGCCCTGCGCCGCGCGTGGCGTGAACTTCGCCCCCGGGAATCCGACAAAAGCAACGGCCCCACGCGCCACACCACTACGAATGCGACAAATTTTCACGGTGGGATCGTGCTCAAGGTCGCCGCGCAGCGCAACAATCTCATCGCTGACGAGCGCCACCGCGGCATTCTGAAGATCCTCCGACACATCAAAGTCCACCACAACCGTGCGAAACGCCGTCGCAGGGATGGCGTTCACTGCATCCCCGTCTCGTCCTCTGAATTTCAGCGAGTTCATCAGTTCCGTGTTGTAGTTGGTACGAAGAACAATGCTTTCAGACGGCGGTGGGTGCTTCGCGTTAAAAAGGCGATGCTCTCTGTACGGTGGGGCCGACTCTGACACCGCGTCCAAGTTCCACACCCGCATGATGCCTGTGTTCAACGCGTCGTCGTCGCCGATGGTGACAAGCACATTCCGTGATCGTATGTGCTTCATGTGCGTTACAGCCCCCTTGTATGCGGAGAACTCCAACGTCGTTGCGGTGCCGCCGCGGTTTAAGGCGTACACAAACCCCTCGCCGTCGCCGACGAAAATGGCCTTATGGCCGTAGCAGCAGCTCGTCATCTCCATGCGGCTCAGTGGCCCCTTCAACACCTCCAACTCAAAAAATTTGAAACTCCGCCAAACAGTCGCCATGGGTCACAGCATATACAAATAAGGGATACAGCCAACACTCACTGGACACGGCCCCCGTAACAAGGGTTGAAGAAATAACAACTAAAAAAGAACGTTTCGTTGAGCGTAAAAAAAAAAAAAAAAGAATGTATAACAAAAAGGGAGTTGAGCAACTGGCATCAGCACCGGTCGAATCCCCCTCAAGTAAATACTGCAGTGAAAACTACAACAGTAACGATAATACTGCCAACACACACAAAAAAAAGACCCAACAGCCAAACAGGCAAAACACAAAAAAAAAAAAAGGCAACGTGGCGGTTTCAACAGAATAATAAAAAAATCTCCTTCCATGGTGTTTCACGCCAAGCCAACCCGATGACTAATCGCACGCATGTCTGCAGAGTCCTTCTCCAGTAGCTCTATTAGGGCCTCCACACCTTCCTGAATACGCTCGGCAAAACGTGTCCAGTTCTTTAGCAGCTGTGGGTCTGTGCGTCGCTGCAGCATACCGTCCTCTTTTGCCACAGCGGGTTCACGCGCCTCGTCACCCGGGCGGCTTCGGAGCAGTGATGCGACAGTTGCAGATTCCGCGTCCAAAAAGGGCTGCAGCTCCGACAGCGCCGTCTTGTATACACCTGGTGCCGAAAGCTGCAGGTTGAGGGTCTTAACGATTCTCGCAATGCGACTCTCTTCTCCAAGAGGCAACCCGAGCTGCCGGAGGGTCTCTACCTTCTTCAGGAGCGAGTACCATCGACGCTGCAGCATGACCTGCTCAAGCATTAGCTCCCGATACTGAGCGACATTTGCCTCGTCCATTTCTCTAAAGCGCTCGGATTTTGAGATCAGAACGTCCACGTGCTTCGTCATGGCGGTAATAACCTCCTGCTGCTTCTCCGCTCGCGCCTTCAGCTCCTGCATGAAGTGAAT